TTGGTGTTCCCTGTAATCTCCACTTCAGCCGCCAAACACATACTGAACATTCCATTCTTAGTATTGCTCTCCACCAGGAGCAGTCACCTCCACTGAGCCACAGCAGGAAAACAAATGTGACTTTCTTGCAAACCACCAACTGGGACAGCAGCGGAGAAAAGCCTGTCTTACAAGCTGCAGAAAGTATGCACAAACCTGAACTATTACCGGACCTGGGAAGGCCCAGAGAGATATCAATACGGAAGTACTTTAGAAAGTCTTTCAGGCAGCGAAGTTGGGGTGTGGTGGGTTAAGCTGCCACCTGTGATGTTGGTATCCCATAAGGGAACTAGTTTAAGTCTCAGCTGCTCCAGTTTTGATCCAGCTCCCTGCTTATGAGCCAGGGAAGGCAGTAGGGGGATGGCCTAAGTGACATGGGAGACCCAGATGGGCTTCCAGGCTCCTGGTTTCAGTCTGGCACGGCGTTGACCATTAAGGTACTGGGGGAGAAAGCCAGCACTTTGCTCCCTCGCTCTCTCTCACTTTCTGTCTGTGACGCTACCTTTCAAAAAGTAAGTAAATCTATTTTTTAATTTTTTAAGGTTTATTTATTTTTTAATTGGAAAGTCAGATATTCAAAGAGGAGGAAAGACAGAGAGAAAGATCTTCCATCTGATGATTCACTCCCCAAGTGGCCACAATGGTTAGAACTGAACCAATCTGAAGCCAGGAGCCAGCAGCCTCTTCCAGGTCTCCCATGTGGGAGCAGTGTCTCAAGGCTTTGGGCCGTCCTCGACTGCTTTCCCAGGCCACAAGCAGGGAGCTGGATGGGAAGCAGGGCCTACCAGGGTTAGAATCAGCATCCATGTGGGATCCTGGGCCCAAATATATTTTTTAATTTATTTGTGTTCACTATGAACAATACAGACCTATCTTTCACCTCAATTTGTATGTCAACCTGTAGATACTGGCTGAATGTGCAGCAATTGGATCAGCTAATATAATGTATAGTAAATGTCTCTTTCCTCTTCCATCCTCCTTCATCCTAAACCTAAAATTGCATGATATGCCATTCTAGTCCTCTAAAATATTTAAAATGAAGTTAGAAAATAAGAGAATCTAATATGGGTTTTCATTTCTATAATGATTCAGATACAAACTCAGCATCATATAGAAGACTCTAGGCAATAATAACTGAGGCCAAAGCATAAATACAACCCAGTTTCCAATGCTATGATTAATAAAATGTTTTAGCATAAAACATATTTTGTAAAATATGTTTTAGCTAAAAATATGCATTAAGAATATTTGGCTTCCCAAGTAACACATTTTTATGAATTTTTAAAAAAGATTTGTTTTATTCCATGTCAGCCAGGGGATTCTGGGAAGATTTCATCAAGCTTGGAATGGCGAGATTGGCAGCAATTCAGAAGTGTTAAAGATCAAAACCACTTGAGCAGGACCCACCGAGCATGCTCCACACTGGGGACCTGGGAGGGGTGGGAGGCTGGGTGGGGCTTCTTTTATTTCTCCCCTTACCCCAAATACATACATACATAAGCAAATAAATAGAGAATGTGGAAACAATGGTCTTACCCACTTTCCTGTAGCCTTGACCCTTTGTGCCCTAATCAACTATATAAAGATCATCAAAATAAAATAACTGCAAATTAATTTATTAATTAAAGATTTGTTTTATTCATTTAAAAGACAATGTTAGAGAGAGACAAAGAAGTGGAAAGGGACAGAAAGAAAGAAAGATCTTGCATGTACAGCTTCACTCCCCAGATGGCCACAGTGGGGCTAGGAGCCAGGAGCTCCTATCACGTGAGTGCAGGGCACTTGGACCACCTTCTGCTGCTTCCCCAGGAAACTGAATTGGAAGTACAGCAGCCAGGACTCAACCCAGTACCTACCCACAGAGGATACAGGCCAGGACTCAACCCAGTACTTACCCACAGAGGATACAGGCCAGGACTCAACCCGTACCCACCCATAGGATATAGGCCAGGACTCAACCCAGTTCCCACCCACAGAGGATACAGGCCAGGACTCAACCCAGTTCCCACCCACAGAGGGTACAGGCCAGGACTCAACCCGTCCCCACCCATAGGATACAGGCCAGGACTCAACCCAGTTCCCACCCACAGATGATACAGGCCAGGACTCAACCCAGTACCCACCCACAGATGATACAGGCCAGGACTCAACTCAGCATCCACCCATAGGATACAGGCCAGGACTCAACCCAGTTCCCGCCCACAGAGGGTACAGGCACCACATGCAGCAGCTTTACCAGCAACACCACAGCACCTAATTTTGATAAACAGTTTATCTTCCATGAACTGCTGCTGTGAGCACTCTTCAACAAGGTAAAATCATAGGCAAACATGAGATATCTGCAGAGCTCATCAATTTACCAAGTTTTAAATTTCCATGGCAAGAAAAACAGCAGCAGGTCAAGCTGCCCCAGTTCAAGCAATAGTTTAAATCGCCGTGCATCAGCAAAGCTGGAACTCAAGGACCAGATCTTAGTTTCAAGCTTGGCTCACTCACATTTTTTCTAGGTATTTAAATCATGCGGTATCATCTTCGGCTACATACCCTCAGGTGACAGTGATAGGAACAGGAACATTTCTTCATCACAATATTCTGATCAAGCCTGAGTGGTGGCCTAGCCACTAAAGGACCTCACCTTACATGCACTTACATCCCATTTGGATGCTGGTTCTAATCCCCGCAGCCCCACTTCCCATCCAGCTCCCTGCTTGTGGCCTGGGAAAGCAGTCAAGGATAGCCCAAAACCTTGGGACTATGCAACTGCATGGAAACTCAGAAGAAGCTCCCGGCTCCTGGCTTCAGATCAGGGCAGCGCAGTTCCAGCCATTGCAGTCTTCCTCCCTGTCTCTCCTCCTTTCTGTATATCTGCCTTTCCAATAAAAATAAATAAATCTTTCAAAAAAAAAAAAAGGATTCCGATCATGTGGCTCAAGAAACATCCTATCTATCTAAAGTAAATATCAGTTAAGCCACGTTTAAAAAACACATTTATTTATTTATTTATTGGAAAGGCAGATATACAGAGAGGAGAGACAGAGAGGAAGATCTTCCATCCAATCATTCACTCCCCAAGTGAGCACAATGGCCAATGCTATGCCGATCCGAAGCCAGGAGCCTCTTCTGGGTCTCCCACGTGGGTGCAGAGTCCCAAAGATTTGGGCCGTCCTCGACTGCTTTCCCTGGCCACAGGCAGGGAGTTGGATGGGAAGCGGGGCTGCCAGGATTAGAACCGGTGCCCATATGGGATCCCGGGCGTGCAAGGTGAAGACCTTAACCACTGCACCATCGCTCCGGGCCCTAAAACACATTTAACAGATATTCCGTGAAATGTATCAAGACAAAACTGACTTAAATTGACCACTGGAACCTGGTAATGCATTTTCTCTGTTTATACAATGGGCCCTACCATAGCCAAAGGGTCAAGTCCTTCACAAGATAGCTTTGTTGAAAAATCACAATATGTGTATAACTGTGGGAATATAAAGCTTTTAAAATTATTTTAATGGCATTTTTTTCTGATTCTAGAAACAACTTCCTATTTGCCATGGGAAAATGCAGACCAGTAGAAAAGAAACAATTTCTTTCTCCAGTTACCTTGCCACTCCTGGCACCTGTTTACCTGCTACCTATTTCTGCTCCCTTACCTGGTTCCTCCTTCTAGTTCCTTGATTCCTGGGGCCTATGTATGTTAGGTACATAGGGTGCTAAAAGGATGCACTGATTCTCATTGAGGTTAAATCATATCCAACTAGGTTATAACAAGCCTAGCTCAACAACAGCTGACATACATTCTTTGGGTTAAGGGGGTAAAGCTTTGTGCTATATATATTCTCCATGTTCTATCACAAGATTTTTATTAATAACTTTTTAAAAAGATTTTTATTTATTTTTACTGGAAAGTCATATATACAAAGAGGAAGAGAGACAGAGAGAAAGATCTTCCATCTGATGATTCACTCCCCAAGTGACTGCAATGGCTAGAGCTGCGCTGATCTGAAGCTAGGAGCCAGGAGTTTCTCCCAGGTCTCCCACAGGAGTGCAGGGTCCCAAGGCTTTGGGTCATCCTCCACTGCTTTCCCAAGCCACAATCAGGGAGTTGGATGGAAAGCTGGGCTGCGGGGATTAGAACCAGCATCCATGTGGGATTCCAGCCACTAGGCCACTGAGCCGGACCCAGGAATTTTTTTTAATTCAGCTCTGAACTTAGTCTGTCATTGTCACAGAGAATGTGGTTCTCTCACCAGATGTTAGTCCAGCAAGAGGTTTGTCTCGTGCCTATTTTATGGTGAAGACTGTTGGCTTTGAAACTACTTCTGAGGGGCCAGCACTGTGGCACAACACATTAAGTCCCTACCTGTGATACAAGCACACATTCCAGTCCCATCTGCTCCACTCCCTATTCAGTTCTCTGCTAATGTGCCTGGGAAAGTGATGCAAGAGAGCTCAAGTCCTTGGGTTACCTGCCGCCCACAAGGGAGACCCAGATGCAATTCTAGGCTGCTGACCTCTGACTGACCCAGCTCTGGCTAGAGCAGCTAGTTGGGGAGTAAAATGGCAGATTAAAGATTCTCTCTCTGTAACTCTGCCATTCAAACATACACAATTTAATAAACAAAGAAATAAATCTTGGACCAAGTAGCTAGGAGAGGATTTTTTAATTTCATTGAAAAACTGAAGTATATTGATAAATGGTGACAGATTCGTTTCTCCAATGAAGAGTTCACTGCAAAGAAAAAAGCCATCTCGAATCCGCTGATGAATATGGTACTCAATCAGCGGAGTTTCCTGGGTATTCAATAACTGAAGACCACAACTCAGTATGGCTCATAAAAGGAAAATCATGAAGAAGCTGTTTGCTTTGACCCAAAAGTTAAATGACCAAGTGGCCAGAAACAGAGACCATGAAAAAAGCACAAACATAGAAAACAAGGGACTAAAGGTGGGAGAACAAGCCAATTTACCTAGGAAGAATGCACATTTCACACGTGCATGAGGCCAAAGAAACACTTCTCTCAGCCAAAAATGGATGAGGCAGAAAAAACAGAGAGGGTCCCCGGACAAGCAGATGAATGAAACACACTGCACACATGCATTCTCAAAGTGAGTGGTTACTACAAAAATAAATCTCTCTGTAGAAACATTGATGTCAGAGGGGGACTGAGTTACAGGTGGGAGCAGCAAGTGCCTTCTGCAGCAGTCAGCTCAGCCACCAACTGGGATGTCCACATCCTATGCTGGGTTCCTGCGTTGGAGTCCCAGCCCTGCTGATTCCAGCTTCCTGCTAATGCCCACTGGAGAGGCAGCAGGTGATGGCCGAAGCACCTGGTTCCCAGACACCTACCTGGGAGACCTGGCCTGACTTGCCAGCCCCTCTGGGGCATTTGAGCAGTGACCTAGGAGATGAAAGAGAAGTCCATCCATCAATTTCTCTCTCCCTCTGCATCTGAAACAAAGTTTAATATAAAAGAACAAACAAGACATATTGGTAGAACACACACAGGTTCTGAACCACAGTTTGTGGAAGGGAGCAAACTATATTTGAGTGCACAAATGTAGAGGGGAATAAAAAAACAGTAAACTATTGGTTATCTTTAGGGAAATGAACTAAAAACTGGATGGGAGGGACGCTGTATTTACCCTCGCATGAGTCTGAGTCCAAGTAATTCTAATAAAAACGGTCACAAAAAGCAGCGTGAAACTGGCCCTGTCAAACAGCTACTGAGCGGACCCAATGCAGAGAAGCTCAGCTGATGCTGGTAGGATTATACTTCCAGCTAAGAACATGGGTTTAAATAATCTTTGGGGCTCACTACAATAGAAATAGCGAGACTTCCATTCCGGGGATCCCTCCCTGGAGTTCCTTCCTGGGATTTAAAAAGAAACAAGAGTCGCAGTACCTGCAGTGCCTAGGGGGATCCACTGGAGGGGCAAACAGCGGGAGACCTAATCCTTCCCGCCCAGGTAGTGGAAGGTAGCACAGACCTCCGGGAAAGGGTGGGAAGCAGGGAGCGGAGTGGGGGGTGGGCGAGCTCTACCCGGAGAACTGGGGCTGGTGGTGAGAGAGGACAGCTAGCTACTCACACCGGAGCCGCCGGCCGCCGGTTCTTCTGGCCGGTTCGTGCGGCAGGACGACTCCCACCCTCGCCGCACACGCTGGCGACCACGGCTGAAGCAAACCAGCATACCAGAAACGGGTCTGACCAGAACAGAAACTAGGAAGAGGCTTTGCATGCTGCAACCTGCTGCCTCGGGAGGCTGGGTCCGGAAACCTCCGCCTGCTTGTGAAGCCACGTACTCCTCCTCCGCGCAGCCCCACCGGGTGACGCGGTTGCCCAGAAGAGGCGCCCAGATCTGGCCAAACTAGACACTCCCCGATTCCCACGCCCTGGCGTAGGAGACCCACGTGGCCGTGCGCGTGCGCCTCTCGGTGTCCAAATTCCCCTGTGTAGTCAGGGGACTTAGGTGGCACTCAGGGAAGCTTCATTGTGATCTACAGGCCACCCAGACAGTGCGTGTCACAGACTGGCCAACTAACTTCCTTTTCGGGTTCCTTGAGGCGTTCTGACAAAGTTTTTTTAAAAAAAGAGAAAAGTTCCCCGTGACTTTCCAGGCCAGGTCTGCCAGACTTTCAACCAGCAGGTGGATTCACCTGGGAAAGGGCTTTTGGGAAGAGGGCTCACAGGTCGGTTGCAAACAAAAACGGAAAGCACACACACGTGCTCAGAAAAGAGCATAGGACCCATAACTCCGAAAGGTGTAAATAAAGCAAGTACAACCAAAACATGCGGCAGGAACATTCAAAATCCCCTTTCTAATGGCTTTTTTTTTTTTTTTTTAATTTTGTACTTGAGCCAAGAAATTTGTTCCACGGAACTGTTTGGTAAGATGGTCTCGGGGAACCATCAGAGGAGGGGGTAATACTCAAAGTTCCATTGCTCTCCTCTGCGACCTGTTTTCTAAAGCACACCAAGCATGCCAGAGCCAGGGTGGTGGGGAGCCGGGGTTGCACCCCAGCGACGCAAGCCACTCAGGCCACGGTGCGCAGCTGCTCAGGGTGCAGGTGTCAGCAAGGCCTGGGAGGGCGTCCTCGTCTGGCAGGTTCATTAGCCTGGAGTGTCAGCTGCCTTTGTTCTACTGCAACACAGGAGAATGACAGAGTAAAACTAACAGCGGGCGAATGCCCTGTGCCGGGCGTCTCAGATAAACCTGGGTCAGAGACCGGCAGACAAGAACATCTTGAAACCACATTGCATTTCTTTGTCCTTTTAACGGGGATTGGAAAAGGGGAGGGGACGAGGGGAGTGGCAAGAGCAGCCTTAAAATAAGGCTTTGAAAACGTATTGCCAAATATCCCCAACTTCCCCATAACTTGACAAAGTCCACAGGAAACTCTCTGGGAAACACCCTGTCGCAAAACAACAGGACTCTGGCTAAGGTCAGGGCAAAGGTAAGAGCCTGCCTGGCTAATTTAGAGCTAACAACAACTACAGTGAAAACTTTTTTCCTTTTCACTTCTGCAAGGAACCCTGGTGCAAGAGCTCCAACAGTCCACCCCAGGGGCAGATCAAGGCTCGGGGTAACCCCAAACTAATCCCGCAGAGGATCTGGTTCATCTCCCTCGCAGCCCCACAGCCCACCAGCGTCTGGGAATCAGGGCTGGGGGCGGGGGCTAGGGCCCGGGCGCTCCGCCCAACCTGGTGCCTAAGGGGCAAACCATAGGTAAGGCATCCTCAGGGTTGCACAACCTTGCGGCAGGCCCACCCCTACCCAGCTGCCCGCCCCACAGCGCCCGTCAGGGGACCTGTCTCCGGGACCTGCCTGCTTGCCAGGGACCAGACGCCCCAGAAGAGCTAGCAAGATGGAGTCGAGGAAGTGAAACTTTGTAGGCAGCTGTGGGAGTTGGCGAGGGTGATCTGCTGAGCCTCCCTGCCCACTCGTGCACTGTGATCTAGGCTGGCCCTCCCAAAGTCTCACCCTTGTCTGAGGCAGGGTTCAGGTGCAGAGACCCCCTCCCCTCCAAACACACACATACGCACTCACACTCACCGGCCCCGGAGTCCCTGCTGGGCGCTGGCTCTCTCAGGAAGGCTGCCGCCCCAGCTTCCTGTTGACAAACCGTTGACTGGCTGGGTGGTGCCGATCCAAGCCAGTCAAGGGCTTAGTGTCCAAGGGCGAAGACAAAAGCTTTGTTCTGCTTTTCAGCGTTTTCTTAGGATTTTTTTTTTCAGAAGAACTTAATTTTTCTCCAACGTTTACACTTGCAAAATAATAATAATAATAATAATAATAATAATAATAATAATAATAATACATAAAGCTTAGCTGCCAAGACAGAGCTGGAAAGGTGACTCCAGGTAAAAACTATCTGAAAATAAACGCAGGGGCTGGACCCAGCACGGTAGCCTAGCAGCTAAAGTCTTCACCTTGCACGCTCTGGAATCCCATGTGAGCGCCGGTTCTAATCCCAGCAGCCCTGCTTCCCATCCAGCTCCATGCTTGTGTCCTGGGAAAGCAGTGGAAGACTGCTCAAAGCCTTGGGACCCGGCACCTGTGTGGGGGACTCAGAAGAGGCTCCTGGCTCCTGGCTTCAGATCAACTCAGCTCCTGCCTTTGCTGCCACTTGTATTTTTCTTCTCTCTCTCTCTCTCCTCTCTCTCTCTATATATGACTTTGCAACAAAAAAATAAGCAAATATTTAAAAAGTAGTAAATAAATAAACACACATACCTGGAAAAGGTTCCGGGGGCCAAAAAAAAACACGTCAGTTCAGAAAAATCCTTATCAAAAAAGGCTATGGGGGAAATGCCAGAGTCAGGTAAGCTTTTACAGCAACACCTCTCCCGGCTCTGCTCAGAAACTCCAGACTCTGCAGTCACAGCACAGAATTTCTCAGCTTCCCAGTCCGGAGCAGGATCTCAGGGCTCCCACCCTCCTCTGGCGCTGGAGAAATCGGCATCCTAATCTCTTCCCAGAGGAAATGACATCTCTCGAAAAATTAACCAAAGGAAGTTCAAGCCCAACTGGCTCCACTACAAAAATCCTGGGGGTGGTGGCCATAGCCTGTTCCAAACACATTCAAAATAGCGTTGGCCCTGCTTCTCTTTGAATTCCACATCTACGGAGCGAAACAGGGGCTGGAAATATTCAGGGGATGTATCCATGCCTGTGCTGAATGTGTAGACTTTCTTTGTTGTCATGATTCCCTAAATAACACAGTGTAGGCCTGGCATCCAAAGCGTGCACATCATATTAGCTAGACTATGCAATTCTAGTTGTAAGCAGTCTGGAAATGATGTAAACCATGCATGCATAGGCTGAATATAAATACGATGCCATTTAACAAAGCAGTTTGGTCATATGCAGATTATAATATGCACAGGGAGTCAGGGAAGCAATCCGCTATGCATGTCCCAGGCGGGACCGTAGGGCCTGAACTGGTTAGTTTGAAGGAAAGAAAGCGGAGAGGAAGACAGCTGAGAACAGGGGCTGCCTTGTGGTGCAGCACATTACCCCGCTTCTCACCCAGCTTCGTACTGTGCCTTGGGAAAGCAACAGATAATAACCCACGTACATGGGCCGCTGCCACCTGTACGGGAGACACAGTCATTTAGCAGCAAACCAACAGATGGAAGAACTCTATCTCATCTTTCCCTCTGTGTCTGTGGCTTTGCCTTTCAAATAAATAATATGGCTTTTTTAAAAAAAAAAAAAAGATAGTTCAGGGGAATGCTTCTTGGGTAAGAAAAAATAAATTATTCCTTCATAGGAGTCAAAACTCAGTGTGATTTATTTATGTGGTGATTTCCATCTAGGGACTGTTGACAATAGAAGAGTCAGCCAACAGTTAGTGGAGTTTTACAACTGGAGGTCGATCAGGGAACCACGGGGAGAGAGCTAGCTGGAAAACATACCTACCCCAGGGGGACAGCTTAAGAAATGAATACGCGTATGGTGGTGGGGATGTGCAGTGATTTCAGTCAAGTAATTCAGTCAGTCAATAAACAAGCAAAAACAAATGTTCCTCGACTTACGACGGAGTTTTGCTTAAAAGAAAAACAGCAAAAGTTGAAAATATCAGTAGTCAGAATGATCTAACTTACCAACCATAACTTCTCAGCTACCAACCAGCTTAACAAGCACTCCTTAGCCCACAACAGTCATGAGCCATTTCTGGATCCCTTTATTTATTTATTTATTTATTTATTTATTTATTTATTTTTAAAAGACTTACTTTTATTGGAAAGGCACATATACAGAGAGGAGGAGAGACAGAGAGGAAAAGCTTCTGTCCAATGATTCACTCCCCAAGAGGCCTCAACGGCTGTACCTGAGCAAATCTGAAGCCAGGAGCCAGGAGCCTCCTCCGGGTCTCCCACGTGGGTGCAGGTTCCCAAGGCTTTGGGCCATCTTCGACTGCTTTTCCAGGCCACAAGCAGGGAGCTGGATGGGAAGCAGGGTTGCCGACATTAGAACTGGCGCTCACATGGGATCCTGGTGTGCAAGGCTAGGACTTTAACCACTATGCTATCACACCGGGCCCAATCCCTTTAAATGTATTCCTGGATTCCCTGTTTGGGTTAGTTCCCCGACCACATGACCAGAAAACAGCATTCTGGAAGCATAAAGGGATAGTTGGGGGTCTACCTCTTTATTTATGAGAACATTATCTTCTAATGCAATTCTGCATGCTGTCACACTCTGAATGGGTTTTTCTGGCTCAGGTACATAGAGCTTCTCGTCAGTTTTACCCATAACACCCAGAAAGCCTCAGTGATTCTAAGGCTGCCAGAACTCAACTATGAGTACGTATTAAGTAGTTCCGTGGTGTCTAGGGAACTGAAAATGGAACAGGAAAATCCACATGACAATTCTGCAGAATACTTGGCTTTCATCTTGACAGTGATAAGGTGCTCTACACAAGAAGAGAGCTTTTAAATTGCTTTTAAATTGACACTCCTGAATCAAGTTTCCACACATACAAGCTTCTGTCCTTTCTCTTTGATATGGCTTTGGCAGAACAGAGGAGGAGGTGGTACAACCTGGAACTCTTGCTTGGCCTTTAAAGCGATTTCCAAAGCCATCTTCAGCTTCTTCCTGAGGGTCACTGGGTCAGGGAGGACTGCAGGCTCCGTTGGACTATTTGAGGGACTCCATTAAATATTGTGCTCCACTGCCAACTCCACAGTTGCATTCCTCCATTGTAAATCTTCCAGTGATACTGTTCTGGGCGTCTCTCCCCAGAGCCGAAAAGGAATCACTGGTTCCCCGTTTCTGCCTGGTGCTAGGGCAATAGCTGCATACACTGGTGCAACAGACTGTATGCCCTACATAGCTCACCATCCAGGAAGCCGCAGGGAAGCACTACGCAGAAAGACCTCCACACATGTGTGGTCTGGCATACACCCACAACCAATTACATTACTGTTAACTAATGCATTAAAACTTACACCAATCTTTTTTGTTGTTTTGCTTTTGTTTTTGTCTCCCTTTTTCTCGTTTTTGATGTTCCACTTGTCCTTGTTTGGCTAATAGAGCCCCTCTCAGTTGGCTTCAGTGCAATGATGTATCCTAAAATTCTGTGAACACTTTTTTTTTTTTACTGTCCAGAACAAACAGATATTTCATGTACAACTTATACTTTCCCTGCCCTGGTGGTAAAATCAACCATTTCTTTCAGGAATCACAATTTCTTTTAGTGAGGCGCTTTGAATTTAGAATCTAAGACCTGAGTGCTATAAATGTTGACTGTTACAGGGTTAGCTGCTCTAAAACACTCTCAAAGGGACAGAAGTATGGAACACACACATTTACATTTATATTTATTTTTCTTTTCAAAAGTAAATATTTATTTATTTGAAAGACACAATGACAGAGAGGGAGATTGGGACTTTTTAGTTTAGAAATCCATGGGGCTCCATTAAACAACTCCAATTCAAATTGAAAACATTGGAATTTTTTTCTGCTTTTATTTATGTAACTCCCTTCTCCAATGGTGAAATAATTATTTAGTTGAATAACTATCTGATATATAAAACCCCACCTCTGCATTGGCAGCATCCCCAAACTGCTCCACTTCTGATCCCCCACATCAGGCAGCCATTCTATTTAGATACTGATTTCTTAACACTTTTTTTTTTTTAATTTAAAAAGTAGGTTTCCAGAGAGAGGAGAGACAGAGAGAGAGAGAGAAAAAAAAATCCTCCATCCTCTGATCACTCCCTAAATGGTCACAATGGCCAGAGCTGGACTGGTCAGAAGCCAGGAACCTGGAGCCTCCTCTGGGTCTTCCATCTTCCAAGGACTTGGGCCATCTTTCATTGCTTTTGCAGGGACATAAATAGGGAACTGGATCAGAAATGAAGCAGCCAGGACTCTAACTTGGCACTGCAAGTGGAGCCCCAACTCACTATACCATGGTACAGGACCCTAGATGCTGATTGTGACCTACCCCTGACTTTAGAGTGGGGTTATTAGGAAGAGAAAAAGAAAGAACTTTTGGGTCTGGCATGATAGCCTAGTGGCTAAAGTCTTCACCTTGAATGCACCTGGATCCCATATGGGTGCCGGTTCTAATCCTGGCAGCTCCACTTCCCATCCAGCTCCCTGCTTGTGGCCTGGGAAATCAGTTGAGGATGGCCCAGTGCCTTGGAACCCTGCACCTATGGGGGAGACCCGGAAGAAGTTCCTGGCTCCTGGCTTCGGATCAGCGCAGCACTAGCAGTTGGAAGATCTTCCTCTCTGTCTTTCCCTCTCTCTGTATATCTGACTTTGTAATATAAATAAATAAATAAATCTTAAAGAAAAGAGAACTATAAAACATTCATGAATGGGGAGCTGGCAATTTGGTCTAATGGGAAAAGCCATGACCTGCAATGCTAGCATCACAAATGAGTACCAATTTGAGTCCCTACTGTTCCACTTCTGATACAACTTTCTGTAAGTATAGCTGGGAAGACTACAGATGATGCCCCAAGTTTGGGAGACTCAAATGGAGTTCCTGGAATCTGGTTTCAGCTAAGCCCAGACCTGGCTG